TCTGGCTATTCCTCCCCATCCCGTGTCTTGCACAGTGTTGTGGTGGAGGCCGCACAGGTAGCCGGCAGGCGGGTCAGATGCCAGTTGTTTGGGACTGGGGCTCTGAAGGGCTTTTGGGCTCTGGGCTACCAGGGACCTAGATTGGAAATGATGGGGTGGCAACACAGAGCTTTCTGACTGTACTGAGGTTCATTGTCTTATCGTAAACAAAGTTTTCCTGGCTTCTGTGATTCCTAATGTTCTGTAAGAGTCCATTCTGGAAATTTCCTGTTGTATTTTCCATGGCTTTTTTAGAGCTCTTGGAGTTCTTTATGTCACAGTCTGGTCTACGTCTCTCCTGCTGTTCTTGACTTCACCCAGATTTTAGGAAGAACAGCAAGGTCTGGCCTACTGTGGTTAGTCTAATCCTCTCATGTAGCAGAGGATCTTGGCAGCCTGTGTAAAGAGACATCCATTCAGCTTATCTTTCAGAATCTTTTCATCTTAACCATAAAGTGTGATATGAAGCTTATGAACTTGTCATCAAGTCTCTTACGTGGCCACACACTATCTCACTGCGACTGAAACATAAACTCCAGTCTCTTTTCTCTACAACTGTAAAAGTATCTATTCAAATAGTCTCCTCCCCATGTCACTCTGTTTTCTTTAGCTCTTTTTTTTTTTTTCTAAATTAACAGTGAAATCTTGAGTTTTTCTGAGGAAAATAAAGCCTGAAAAGGAGAGACCATCAGCTACATGATTTAAAGTAGTTTTGAGGGTGGGGTGGCATACTGGCATAGCCTGTAAAACCACTGCCTGTGACACTGGCATCCCGGGGCTCCACTTCCAATCCAGCTCTCTGCTGGTGATCTGGGGAAAGCAGCAGAACTCGACTCGAGTGTTTGGGTCCCTGCACCAAGAGAAAGCTCCTAGCTCAACCCTGCTACTGTCATCTGGGAGACTGAACCAACTGAAGATCCTCTCCCTGTGTGTCTCTGAGTGTGTTTCTTCTCTGTAACTCTGACTTTCAAAATAAATAAACCAAACTTGAAAACAAACAAACAAACAAAACCCAGTTGTGAGGGCCTTATTATGCCCCTTGGCGCTAGGATATATCTGGGCCGGTCTGGGTGGAATTCAGAACTCTGTGACACAACTGGTGTTCAAAGAGCTGATGTCACACAGCCTGTGTGCTGACTGGCAGAGAAGTTGAAGCTGGACCCTGCTGGCTGTTCCCCACGCCTGGGTGGAAGACTGCACTTCTAACAGCGAACTCATCCACCTTGAATCTTAATCATTAGAATTTTAAAAATTTCCAGTAAGATGTCCTGTTTCCTGGAGTTGGTTTCGGTTGTAGTCGTCACGTACTTCCGGCTCACATCCAGCCATGAGTATTCCCGTAGTAAGTATGCTGTCTGCTCCTCCTCTCTCCGGCTCGCTTTTCCCTAAGCCTGCAAGAGTAAACCAAATGACGATTCCAAAATATGTAAAATAAGATGGAATACTTAGGACTTGTGGGAGTGATGGAGTTTGTTGATGACCATGGAAAGCTTTTTCCCCCTAAGATATGCATTTTTGGCAAAATGAATGTATGTGTTCTCAGGACTGTCAGGCAGAACATTTTGACACAGCTCTTCCCATGGGACATCTCTGAGCCTGATGCACGGTGGAGGCTGAGCTTTGCTCCTGACATTGCTCACAGCTCAGGGGTCCAAGTTCACAGGTAGTAAAGCCAGTAGGGCCAGAGCCGGCCTGCTTGTTATTCATCTATCTTTAACGATTATTTATTTTTAAAGTTGGTGTTAGAGGGACACACACACACCTCACATCCATTGAGTCATCCCCCAATGGCCCCAACAACCAGCCCTGGCCAGGCCACAGCTAGGAGTCAGGAGTTTCACCCAGGCCTCTCCCTTGAATGGCAGGGGCCCAAACAACTGAGCTGGATGCACGGCTTTTCCCCAGCCATTAGCAGGGAGCTGGATCAGCAGTGGCATAACCGAGGCACAAACTTTTGACCACCTAGGATGCCAGCCTCACAGGCAATGCCTTTATTGGCCACACCACAGTGCCGCCCCTCTGCCATGTCTAGTCAGAATCCCTGTCCTCTTCCAGGTCTCCTCCTGCCTGTATTTTGCCATGTAGCCCCTTTCATGCACAAGTAAACTGCCTGTCAAGCCCTGAGTCACAGGCGGCTCCTTGGGAGAGGGTCTGGGTTTGGATCTGCTGCTCCTCTGCTGAGGTGATGGCAGCTGTGGGAGAGGGAGGCCACTGTTACTGCCCGCACACCCCTCTGCCTAGGTGGGACAACGGGCTTCGACCTGAGGACGGTGATCATGCTCATCATTGCATGCAGCATCCTGTTGGCCATCATCACGCTGGTAGGGGTTGTCTTCTGTCTCTACTTCAAGGTGTCCAACGCACTGAGGTGAGTCACATGGTGAGAGTGGACCATGCACTCCCCCTGGGGCCCTGAGCCCTGAGCCTGAGCAAGGTCTCTGCTGGCTGCTGTGCCCCCTCCTAGGGTGAGCTCAAGGTTGGGACAGCTGAGGCCATACCCTGGGATCTAGGCTCATTTTCTGTCCTAGGCTCGAGCTGTGAGCTCATCCAGAGGCTGTCCCCAACCTGGGGCTGAGGGTGAGCACAGCCTCGCTGTCACTGGCCCTCAGCGAGGTGTGTCAGGTGACGAGCTCAGGCCCTGTCCTGGGCGAGGAAGCCTGAACTGTCCCCGGGGGACACAGTGGGAGTGGGCATTTGCTGCCTGTTCCTGCAGGGGACGCAGGGACTGCCCTCCCACCCCAGCTGGGAACTATCAGGGGGTTCCCTTGCTCATGGCCAGTGGCCTAGGGGACACTGAGGCAGGCCTGTAAGGACAGACAGTGCCCTGTAGAGTCTATGGGGAGCAGGTCAGATAAGATGTTCAAGATGAGGAGACGCAGGGTGTCAGCGCATTGTGTCCCGTGGCAGGGAGTCGGGGTGACTCTGGGGGCCCAGGGCAGAGCCAGCCACAGCCCCTTCCCACCAGCCCTGTGTCCCGAGGGGCTGCCAGCACAATGGGCAGACCTGGCTGGTGGTCCCTCTCCTTCGTGTTGTAACCCGAGTTTCCTTGCACAGCCATCGTAAGAAAGAAGGGAAGTAGAGAGGATTTGACACAGCGGCAGAGAGCTTTCCCCCAGGGCTGGTGTCGCCTGTTTGGTAGGCTCAAGTCCCGACCTCTCCCTGATCTGACAGTCGTCACAGGGCCAGTGGGAAGGCAAGAGCTGACCCTGTGCTTTGTGCTTGTCTTTCCTAAGAGATGCGAAGGATCCTTGCCTGTGTTCCAGCGGTTACCTAGGCAGGGTCTCCCAGGACAGGGTCATCCCGGTCAAAGCTGTCTCCATGGACTCCTGCCGTAACCTCCCGTGCTGCAATGACTGTAACTTGTGTACAGATGTTGATCCCCTGCCACCTTGCTGCTGTGGCACAAATGAGGGACTCTGATTCGGGCATGGTGAGCACTAAAATCTTCCATGAACAATATTTCCTTCTTATTAGAATGTTTTACTATTCAATCATGTTCTATAGTAGTTACATTACACAATTTCTGTACAATGTTATTTTATGTACTGTTGAATAAATGTACGATATTAAAACAACCCTGTCTACTATTTTTATTCTCTACAGATATTTCTGTTTCAGTGTATGCCCTGCCCACTACTACTGGGGACAAGGCATTGGGAATATTATCCTGCAATGACGAGGGAGAGGGAGGGAGGAAGGAGCCTGCAGCTCATCTGCCAGCCCAGAAGGGAAATCCGGGTTGGTCCTGGGGCGTTTCCTTCGGTGGGAGCTCCATCCGGGTTGTTCTTGGGGCATTTCCCACCCTGTGAGCGCCATCCGGGTTGATCTGGGTTGGTCTCGGGGCGTTTCCCACCCTGTGAACCCCATGTGGGTTGGTCTGGGGGAGGAGGAGGTGTTTCCCGCGGTGTGAACCCCAGCTGCCCGCCTGGCTGGAGCAGAGCCCAGGACTCTCCTTCAGGCTTCCTTCCTTCCCACCCAGCGCCTCCCCTGCAGACCACCATGTGCACTGTCCTGAAGGGGGCGCCGTTGGCCAGGCCGACTGAGGTGTGGCAGGCAGGAGGCTCTGGGTGGATGCTGTGTGACCAGCATCCTGGTGGGGTTGAATTCAGCATCTCTGAGAGACCTTGTAGGAAACCTGTGACTCCTCTGTCCTCCCCCCCCACCGGGCCTTCACACTGACGTGGATTTGTGCTGGTTTGACTGTCAGTGTCTTCCGCTGTCTCAGCAAGGAAGCCCGAGGCCAAAGCCCAGGCCCTGTTGACCATGGGGTGGGCAGTCCCTCTGCTCCCCAGGCTGCTGTTTTCTGCCCCTTCCATTGAAGCTGCTGAAACACACGCTCGCTGCTCCTGCTGCCAGCATGGACACCAGCGTTGCTTTCCCTCCAACTAGAGTGTGGTGCCTGTGGCCTCCTGCGCACCTGCTGCGGCCTCCCAGGGCTTAATTGGACGGAAGTCCCTGCACCTGTGCCTTCGTTCCCTTCTCCCCACCCCAGGTCAGCACCTGGCAGGACACCAGAGTGACCCAGCCAGACCCAGAGCTACCCCAGTGCCACACAGCCCCCTGCCGATCCTTCTGTTCTGAGGCGAGGTGGTGGGCCTCGGAAGTCAAGGTTGTCACCTTCAGGATGTGGCCATGCAGACCAAGGCTCAGCTGCACATCCGTTGCCTGAGGGATTTCCCAGGACCTGTTGTGGGCCAGCTGCTGGGGGTGCCTGGGCAGAGCTGTGGCTGGGCCCGGCTGGGCCCTTCTGGAAGGAGTCAGGTGCCCAGGCTCTGGCGGCTGGTGTTGCTGGTCACATTCCAGCCTCCCAGCTGCTCTGTTCTCATGGAAACGGGCACCTGTGTGGCTGGAGCTGACGGGCCTCTCTGGACGTGGCCAGGCATCTTATCCATCCAGATAGCCATAAGAAACAGAGCATTATAAAAGCCCGTGGCCCTCAGGGCTGCTCAGTCTGTACAGCGATGGACGTGCTGGGGCGGCTGCTGGTGCTGACCCTGGTGGCTGCCCTGTGTTCAGCACAGTTGAATTTTACAGAGGCTGAAGGTAAGACCAGTGTTCTTCACCCAGGTAGGAAGGACTCCCTTGCAAAAGGTCTCTTCCAGTAACTGCAGGCTTCTGTAGTGGCTGTTGGCCTCAGGGTACAGAAGACCTTGTTGTAATGCTCTTTGGAGTATTTAGAATTAATACACATTTAATGCCAGCCCATCTGACATTGTAAGAGTGTGCTGCAAGAAGTTCTTGAAAATCGGATTAAAAAATGTTTATTTCAGCGTACAAAATTCTATCAAAAGTCGGGTCTTGAGTTTGTTCAAGGGAAATGCAAAAATGCAATGCGTGGATTTCAAAATTTTTTGCCACCAAAATAATTTTATCTTTTCCATTTGCACGGACTTTTTCAAATACTCTTGTACATAAAAATATGATACAAGCACACAGAATTTTGTTGGGTATTTTCATTCCTAAGAGTTTGTTTTTAGGGTATCATCTTTGTACACATATATGGCCACAAGGATGTGCATTTTCATGATTGCTCCATCAATTATTGCCTCAGAGTCAATCTATACAAATAAATATTTTTTGGCAACTTAAAGAATGACATTGGTCTATTAAACACATGTCCAGGATCTACATGAATGATAGACACTATCTAGAGGTCCACTTCTGATCTAGCCCCCTACTAACGTCCTGGGAAAATAGAAGATGGCCAAGTGCTTGGGGCTCTGCCGTCCATGCGGGGAAGTCGGATGAAACTCGTAGCCTCTGCTTGGTTCTGCCCTGCTGGTGGTGGTGGTCTTCGGGGGGCATAAACCAGTGCACAGAGCTCTCTTTCGGTTTCTCTTCTCTCTGTAACTCAGAGTTTAAAACAAACAAATGTTAAATAAATGAAAACCATATCTAAATTTTGCACCATATGACAGTGTTTAATATTTACGATATGCATATTGGTATGTTCAGGAAATTTTGAACTAGAAAGGAAGAAATCTGTAGGGTTTACAGTAGGTTTTCCACGATTATTGGTCTGGGTGGATGAGGCTAAAGACAATACTTTTTTCATTGTTATTTCCAATATTTTATTAAAAATATGGTATTGGTAACTATTTTAGGATAAAAATAAGAGATAATTTTAATATAAGGATATTATCACTTATCAATCACTGATGAAAAAGAAATTGAAAAACTTTGTTCCTACATAAATTTTTGATCAGTCTTTTTGTAAAACATGTATTTTGATTCCATTTTCATTTGAGTTGTCTTTTTAAAAAAGATGTATTTATTTTTAATGTCAGATTTTACAGAGAGAGGAGAACTAGAGAAGGTCTTCCATCTGGTGGTTCACTCCCCAAATGGCTACAGAGCCAAGCTGATCCAAAGCTGGGAGCCATGAACTTTTTCTAGGTCTCCAACATGGGTGCAGGGGCCCAAGGATTTGAGCCATCCTCTGCTGCTTCCCAGGCCGCGAGCAGGGAACTGGATCTGAAGTGAAGCAACCAGTGCCCTTATGGGTTGCCTGTACTGCAGGGTGGAGGATTAGCCTGATAGGCCACTGTGCTGGCTCCGGGTTCTTTGTCTTTTAAGTATTTAATTTTAAGAACTCTTTATGTATAATTGATGTGAAGCTTTCCTTTAAAACCATCTTCCTTCAGGCTTCAGTATATTTTCTTTTCCTATGCAGTGTATGTAGCGAAACCACAAATGCTTTCCTTCCAAAGGTGTAAAGAAGGGGAAGTTTATGGCCATGGCTTGTTTTGAATTGAGCAAGTATCATTCACAATTCTTTGCTTGCATCTTGAATGGATATTACATGTGGGAAGTAGAGTCCCACCCCTGGGGGAGGGGCTGCCCATTTTCCTCGACTTAGCCTGTGGTCTTTACCAGGCAGGTCCAGCTGCAGAGCCACCGTGGCAGGGAGCAATGCTGGACAGAACTACAAAAGTATGATCTTGAATCTCAATTCCAATGAGGACTGCGTTTGGACCATAGAAAAACCATACAACCAAAGTATCAGAATCATCTTTTCCCACATCCAGTGAGTACAAGCTTCAGTTTCCTATTGGTGGTGGTTGGACTCGCTGGACACACTGGCCGTGGTTTCTGGGGAGAGAAGACTGTGGGAAGAACCTAGCTGCTGCTGGAGGTGGCTGTGACACCTGTGACCACAATGACAGATTTTGGACTACAGATTTCATCTTTCTTTTTTTTTTGGTACTATTGCTAGTGGATAGCCACTGATGATGATTTTGTGTGCAGTGCTGGCTCAAAGACATTGCATGGGGTCAGCGTTAGGATTGTAGGCAAGGGATATGGAGTACTTGCTGAGATCATTAAGGAGAGAATGACTAGGATTAGTATCTAGCTGGTCCAGTTCCATTTTCTGGATCTTAAAACACTACTTTATGATTCCAAGCTTGGTGTGTGTTAAAGTCAACAGGGTGCACAGCTCTCTGCAGTTAGACCGCAGTTTCTGGGGACACAACTCATTAGTATATTTCTATTTTATAAATTTTATTTTGAAGTAAGTATACATACTTAAGCGTTTTTTTTTTTTTTTTCCAAATTGCCCAGACAACCCCAGCATGAGGCCATGCTGAGAACAAGGCCTTGTGCTACTGACCCTTAGGGTTCCTAAGATTTTCCCCAGTCAATTCTCTTAACAGCGGCAGGTGCAATCTAACTTCTGTTCAGTCAGCAAGAAAGCCCAGGGAAGTCATTAAGGGACCCATGACTGCCAAGCAGTGAAAGTGAGAGAGGAATTGGACCCAAGCACGGTGGCTGGTGGCCCGAATCCCTCCCTCACACCGCAGCCTGTAGAAGCATGTAGGGGTGCTTGTAGAGGCACAGTTGCTAGGCCCCAGAGTCTCTCCATCATTTAGATGGAATACATGGGGCTTGAGAAACAAACTCTCAGGAGACACTGTGACTGCAGGTCCAGGATCCACACTTTGAGAACATGGACTCCACAACTGATGCTGTGTCTCCGTTCCTCTCTACCTTGATGCCTCAAGAGATAAAGGGTTCTCCCACATGCCCTGGGGGTGACTGAGCTATTAAGAAACCTACATGTGTGGCTGTGCAGGAAGAGAGAGGGAGAGAAAAGAGTGTGGGAAGAACAGGGGTAGAGGGAAAGTAGCCCTAATGTGTATTGGGCACTTTCTGTATGCCATGTCTGTGGAATAAGCACCATGTTCAGAATGTCTGCTCCACCAGGGTGACGTGTAGACTGTGCTATTGCCATTTCACAGCAAAGAAAGCTGAGGTCAAGAAGAATTAATCCGTTTTCCCCCAAAGTTATACAACAGGTGCATAATCAAGGTGAAAGGAGAACTCTGGTTTCTCTACGCTTGCAGTGTGTGTCTATACACACTGATATCTGTATGCGTGTGTGTGTATGAGATATATTTAGATATATCTCAGTCAAATGTTGATTTTGAAATAAGCAAACACACCCAAGTGTGTCTGAGTACAAAGGGGACATCAAGAATTTCCTGGAGAATGGAGTAAAAAGGTCATGCTCATTTTCCACCCACTTTTTACAATTTTTTTTAAGTTTTGAATTTTATTGTACACTTCTGTGTAGTCTGGGATTCCCCTGCAGATCTTTCTTACTAAATTACCTGGAGTGTACGTCCTCTGCGAGCACTTGGATAAGGACAGGGGTCAGAACTGGAACTCTCCTTCAGAAGGAGGGAGCAATGCTATGAGGGCAAGTATTTGCTTTGTCTGGGGAAAGTGGCCATGGAAGAACAATCACTTCCCTCCTCTACAGCCTTGGATATCAAGTGTTAGTGAGGAGCAAAGGTGACTCTCCCCCCGGAGGGGAACAGGAGTGATGGGAAGTGGTAGAACAGGACCAAGCCCGGAGGCCACCAGGAGTCCATTATAGAGACATGATGGGTTTGGTATGAGTCAAGGACAAACCGGTTTCCCTCCCTGAGCCTGCTAAGGCTGATGGTTTGTGGGTTGGTGTGAAAGATGGGGATGGTGGCAAGGTTTCAATGCCAACAGAAGTGTCGCTGCTCTGCAACTTGCAATGGCACTATGAGCAGACGACTGGGCCGTGTTAACTCTCCCTTGCCTGGTGACTTGTCCCTAGCCACAGATGTGTTCTGTCCACAGGCTGGATCCATATGCGAGCTGTGAAATCGAAAACATTAAAGTTTTTGATGGATCTTCTACAAATGGGTCTCTGTTGGGGACAGTCTGCAGCAAACACGACTATGTTCCTGTGTTTGAGTCATCAGCGGATACACTGACGTATCAGATAGTCACCGGCTCCACAACAGTGCCAAGAAGTGTTTTTGTCTTCTATTACTACGTCTCTCCTGGCACTTGTGAGTCCTCCTTTACACAACCTTGACCCAAAGCTCCTGCCCACAGAGTTTGCATACTCTCCTGAATAGGGTCGGGGAAGATTGGGGTCTTGAATCGGGGTTCTTCCATGTGGGAGAATCATCCTTCTCTAACTGGATTGCGGGTAGGAGTCATGGGCAGAGCTTATGACATCACAGATTCTACCTCCTGTCTCAGAGATTCCAGTTCACTGGGATTTCTGGGAGAAGCCAGGGGCTGCTCTGCTGCCCAGTTCTCAGGTGAGACAGAGGAGGATGGGTCTGGGTCAGATGGGCGGCAGGTTGAAGGGTACTACATTAGAGCCACACATCCCACATACTTCTTCCTAATCCTTTGGACTTTTGCACAAACTCCTCAGAGTCTGGCTCACTAGAGCTTGTCTGGGGCTGTATGGTTTCACCTTCATGATTACAAGCTTCTGGTTACCCTGCAGACGCTAAGGAGCAAATGCTCAGAAATGTTGATCTGACTTGTCAGATGTTACACAATTCTGTACTCACAGCACCCACACCTACCCCTTTATGACCCAAGCAGGATGTCAAAGACAACTGGAGTGGACCTATGAGGACAACTCTACTGTGGTTTTTTTTTCAAGGTCAAGAGCTGGGCATGTCACTCTTGTGCTTGAAACTTTGATTTCTCGGTGCCAACAAATAAACACAGCAGAGCAGTCAAGGTTTTCCCACGTCATAGCCTGAGCAGTCCACCTGTTCAAACTTTAGTTACTGTCCAACATTCATGCTATGTTTCAGCCAGTCTAAACCATGTCACATCTCCCCAGTAAGAGACTTTACTTTTCTTTCCCTTTGCTTGTTTATGTGCTTATGGGGGAGATTCTTGAAGCTACTTTCACTTGACTTGAGCTTTGAATGGTAGCATGAGGAAGGCAGACAGAGGTGGGTAACAAGGGAGGTGGATTCATTTCTGCTGGAGCCCATAGCCTGATGGAAATAAAGGGTGGCTGGAACCACAGGTCACATCCTAGTGGCCCAGGAGACTGGCAAGCTTGGCTGGACCTAAGTGAGGAAGAGCCTTCAGTGCTAGTTCTGAGTGAACTTTTTTTTCCTTTTCCTTTTAAAGATGTTTTTATTTTCACTAGAAAGGCAGATTTACATAGAGAAAGAAATCTTCCATCTGCTGGTTCACACCCTAAATGGCTGCAATGGCCAGAGCTGAGCCAATCTGAAGTCAGGAGCCAGGAGCTTCTACTGGGTCTCTCATGTGAGTGCAGGGTCCCAAGGCTTTGGGCCATCCTCTGCTGCTTTCCCAGTAAGAATGTGGAGCAGCTGGGACTTGAACTGGTGCCCACGTGGGATGCTGTCACTTGCAGGTGGAGCATTAGCCAGTTGAACCATTGTTTAGGGCCCTGGACATTATTTCTTGTGGCTCAGCTTGGTCAGGTGTTAATGCTACCAATGTAATATGTTTCATTGAAACATTCATTCTGGGTCCTGCACCGAGAGGCAGAAAGTCCAGTACACAAAAGAAAGAAAACTTCATTCAGCACACGACCCATGGGAAAGACAGAGGCGGAACATTGTCCAGGGGGGCACTTGAAGGTCCAGGCTCAACTCGGAGACTAAGCCGGGTCTCTCATTTTGCTGCACACTCTTGGCCATGTGCATGTTCCTTTCAGCTATTCCAGCTTGTGGCGGGTACCTGGATGCTTTGGAGGGATCATTTACCAGTCCCAATTACCCAAAGCCCCATCCAGAGCTGACATACTGCGTGTGGCACATCCAAGCGGACGAAGGTTACAAGATAAAGTTAAGCTTCAAAGACGTTTTGTAAGTGTTGTGGCTGCTTTCTGCGGGAGTAACTGCACTGGCAAAGCCTCAGTTTTATCATCAAGCACCTGAGAGCCAGGGTTGTTCTAAAATTCACAGAAGAGGTATATTAAGAAAAAAGTGGGCATAGGTTTCAAAATGGTTCTCGCGTTAACACAAATGTACCTAACTTTTAATTCCATTTTCCACAAACCTTTTGAAGTATTTTTATACCGTGCAGGGATAAATGCCTCAAGGTTTAAGCGCTGGGTGGCTGGGGCTATAGAAAGTGGCAGTGATTCGGTTTGAAGAGCCCATTCATCCGCATTCCTCATTCACAGCCTGGAGATAGATGACAACTGCAGGTTTGATTTCATCGCCGTGTATGATGGCTCCTCCACCAATTCTGGCCTGATTGACAAGGTCTGTGGTCGCGGGAAGCCCACCTTCGAGTCCTCGACAGGCTCCTTGACTGTTGTGCTGTCTACCGATTACGCCAACTCCTACTGGGGCTTTTCTGCTTCCTATACTTCAGTTTATACAGAAGATGTCAACACTAGTAAGTCGTACTCTGTGTTGCTTGAATGTCTGGAGCCCGTGGATGATTGCGTGCGCAGAAATGGCACCTTAGTTTTTAGTGCACACAGCTGGCACATAGCATTTGGCAATGAATGCGGAGTCTAGAGTTTGAAATCGAGATTTGTGTGCTTTTCCACCCAGGAGGTTTAGTCAATGGAAAGAGATTTCTCTAGAAAATGTGGACTGTTTAATGCTTTCTATGTAGAAGCAATTATAAGTAGAGGTTTAAAGATTATAGCACCAGTAAAGTGACCATGTACGTTGGGAAAGGTGAATTATCTGCATGTGAATTATCTCCAGCAAGAGCTTGCTGGATGCTCTTCAGGATCCGACTTATGTTCGCCATAACTATAACTATCCTCCTTTCGTTTCCCTGACAGCATCTTTGACTTGCTCTTCTGACAAGATGAGAGTCATCCTAAACAAATCCTACCTAGCATCATTTAACTATCATGAGAATAACGTACAAATAAATGACCCCACCTGTAGACCAAGAGTATCAAATGTTGTGGAATTTTCTATCCCTCTTGGTGGATGTGGCACAATCAAACAGGTGAAGTAGAATGCTGGCCACTGGCTTTTCTTGGTGTCAAATGCGGGACAGGTGTGCAGTTGGGATGAGCTTGCTGGATGCTTTCAAAAACCAGTCAGCTCTTAGTGGTTGGACATGTGGCAAGCATGTGCAGAAATAAGCATATGCTTGCTCCCATACAATTGCCAGATTCTTGCTTTCATTTTTCATTTTAGGGTAACTGGAAGGTGTGTATCTTTTCTGAAAGATAAAGAGCTCTGAGAACTTGTGCTCGCTTCGGCAGCACATATACTAAAAGAGCTCTGAGAACTCGCTGGAGAGAGTTGGAGCACCTATATGATACGGGTTTAAGAGTCTCTCGTAACATTTGTGCAGGATGTGCTTGCTTGCCATGCTTGTTAAAACTCTGCCAAGTTTTTACTTGCCCTCTGCCTTGTAAAGAAAGAAGGCAAAATGTGATACTTGCTGACATGAAAGACAGTCTGTGGATTCCATTAGTGCACATACACACTGTGGATACTTCACTTCTCACTTGGGAGATTAAGCAACCATCTAGTTGAAGGGAAAGGATTCTATTTTGGAAGAATTGATAGAGAGACATGAAGCTTTTTAATGACACTTTTTTTTGGGCTAAAAATGAGCGCATGAGCTTGTTGACACTGTGCATCTTGAGGAAACACCACCTAGGTGCACCTGTTGATACCCTCTGTCTCCATTCACTTTGGGAGCTGCCCCATCAGCACACCAAGTGCTCCTTAACGGAGCACAACATTGTAGGTCTCTACATCTTTCCGGGACTGGAGATTCGCATTCAAACTGACTTTAACTGATTATGTCCAGTTTCGGTCGCCAATCTCTCCAGTGCCAGCCGCACTCCTCATCTCACACTTCTTTCCTTCTCCAGAGTGTCCTCAGTGGAACCGATTGCAGGTGTAAACTATTCTGACATAAACTAGTCATGCCTTATGATCTGGGAAAACAAATCTATGCACAAGCGTTTTACTCACTGGCGCTCTAACATTACTGGGCTTAAAGTACAAAGTGTGAATTCTGTCTTGTTCTGTAGGTGGAAGATCAGACCATTACCTACACCAACGCCATCACCTTTATCGTGTCCCCGACTTCCGAGATCATCACTCGCCAGAAGCATCTCCAGATCATCGTCAAGTGTGAAATGGAGAACAACTCCACCGTGGAGATCATGTACATCACGGAAGATGATGTCATACAGAATCAGAACGCCCTGGGCAGATATAACACAAGCATGGCTCTTTTTGAATCCGGCTCATTTCAGCAGCCTATAAGCGAATCCCCGTATTATGTGGATTTGAACCAGACGTTGTATGTTCAAGTCAGTCTGCACACTCCAGACCCAAGTCTGGTGGTATTTCTCGATACCTGCAGAGCTGCTCCCACGTCTGACTTTGGCTCGCCGACGTACGACTTAATTAAGAGTGGGTGCGTGTTGGTGTGATGGATGCATGATAGTCCTCTCTGAATACCAGTGATTGTAAAACTGTGCTAATATGTTCATGTGCGTATATGATGAACATCCGTATGGATATACACATTTGTTCTAGTACTACTGCCTCAGAATTGTACTTATCATCAGTAGAAGATCCAGTCATGTTCCAATTTAATGATGAGATAGCAGGTTAAGCCATGTTAGGGAGGCTGGCATCCTGTATCCAGAGCACCAGTTTGAGTTCCTGGCTGTCCTGCTTCTGAGCCAGCTTCTTGTTAATGCACCTAGGAAGGCAGCTGATGATGACTCAAGTACCTGGGCCCCTACCACGCTTGTGGGGGAACCGAGATGCGGGTCCCGGCTCCTGGATTTATCTTGGTCCGGCCCTCGTCGTTTGGCCATTTGCAGAGTGCACCAGTTTGTGGATGATCTTTCTCCATCTCTCTGTTCTGTCTTTCTCTTGTCATTCTGCCTTTCAAATAAATCTTGTAAGGAAAAAATAGACTGAATTCCTGTGCAGCTTCTAACCACATCATATGTTCTGTTCCAGCTGTATTCGAGATGACACGTGCGAGGTGTATCCTTTAGCGGCACACCACGGAAGGTTCCAGTTTAGCGCCTTTAAGTTCCTGAGGAGCCTGAGCTCGGTGTATCTGCAGTGCAAGGTGCTGATATGTGATAGCAGCGACGCCACGTCTCGCTGCAGCCAAGGCTGTGTCTCCAGACGGAAACGAGAAATCTCGTCCTACAAGTGGAAGACCGACTCGGTCATAGGCCCCATCCGCCTGAGGAAAGATCGAAGTGCAGGTGGAAACTCAGGTGGGAAGAAAGCCATTACATGATCTGGGAATACCTCGTGCCTCAGGAGATGCCCCTCAAACCCAGTTGTTCTTCAGCATGCCCAAAATGCCCAGCATGCCCAGTTCAGAGATTTATAATAGAAGTTGTAGCAAATAAGCCCTGCATTTAAAAAAAAAGGATTTATTTCTATTTGAAATACAGAGTTACAGAAAGAGAGAAGGAGAGATAGGGAGAGGAATCTTCCTTCTGCTGGTTCATTCCCCGATGGCCACACTGGCCAGAACTGGGCCGGTTGAAACCAGGAGCCAGGAGCTTCTTCCGGATCTCCCATGTGGGTGCAGGGGCCAACCATTCTCTGCTGCTTTTCCAGGCCATTAGCAAGGTGCTAGATTGGAAGTGGAGCTGCCAGGACTAGAACTGGTGCCTGTATGGGATGCGAGCACTGCAGGAGGAGACCTATAGCCTGCTACAGCACTAAGTGGGCCCAGGCTACTCATTTTAAGCACAGTTCATATGTGTTTCCACCAGTTTGTAACACACACACCCTAGTAATTCATTATGGGAATTTGCTCTTGTTCCTGAAAACCACAACCCTCCTTATCTTCCTGCGTCCTTACTACAGGTGCTCGAACAAATAACCGAGTGCGAGGTTGTGTGTTTTAACTCCTACATCAGTAAAAGTAAAAATCAGCATCCCATGCAATTGCCCATTTGAAAAACAAAGTTATGTTCTAAGCACAGAGATTCTGTTAACGCAGGACTGTCCCGCTTCTCGGAGATGGCCAGGTTCTCTGGATGAGAAGTGATGGCAAACACCCACAGACAACATGAAATGGAACATACATTCTGGGTATAACCCAAGTGAGAGAGACCAGTGCCCTCTGTCTATGTTTAGCATGAACCAACAAGGCGTATGACTGTGTAGCTCGTACTTCTACAGCAAAAACAAAATATAAATAAAAATTCATTTCAGTAACGTTTCAAACATATTCGGTAAAAGGTTTGCTTGGTGCATCTTCAGATATTAATTTTAAATTAGCGGGAACTGTGTGTGGAAGCCACTAGAGAAGTCTACATGTTGGACAAGTATCCTCTCTTATTTCCAGGGAAACAGCCAGTCCTTTTCCCATCGATCAGTCCTATTATGGCAACTTTGGGAAATGGTGACTAGTGGAAGTTGAACTTGTATCCTGTTTGACTTTTATGCATTTATTTCACGTGTTTTTAATATTACATCAGAGAGTCAAACTAAGTCACCATCTGAATCAAGGAAATTTGAGCATAACTTAATTATAATATTTAATATTCATTCCTCCATATTACATTAGATTCTCATACATTCATAGACGAGATTCATAGGTACGTAGTGATATTATAAGTGCAATAAACACTTTTGCAATGCTGATTCTTTTGAGTTATTTCTGAGATGGTCATTTAGCAGTTAGGATGCTAGCTAAGATAGCCTATCTCCCATCAGAGTGCCAGGGTTGAATACCTAGTCTAGCGGTCTTGGCTCTGGCTTCCCACAAACGCAAGCCCCAGAGGCAGTGACAGCTTGGAAGCTGAGCTTCCCTCATAGGAGCCCTGAATGAAATTTCCTGCTCCCAGATTTGATGCTGGCCTAGCCCTGGCTTCCGTAGGCACGCAATGGGTGGACTAGCAGACAAGAAAACTCTCCACTCATCCACCTAATCCATACTCATCTTACTTTCTGCCTCTCCAATACATTTTTTTTAAATGGTTTTCATCTTGTTTCCAGTGACTGGACTTGTACGTCAACCAGAGGCAGAAGGAACTCAGAACCTGCCGTTCGACAGCATGCATCTGTTTTCATTCACCGTTCTTGCCCTGAATGTAGTGATTGTAGCCACTGTCACAGCGAGGCACTTTATGCATCGGCGGACGCACTACAGGTACCAGAAGCTGCCGGAATACTAACCAGTGAGTTCGGCTCTACGTGACATACTTCAATCCTGGTCGCTGAAGCAAATGGAGCCTCATGGCTACGAACACTAGGAACGAGCAAGCAAGGGCCTGCGGATGCAGCACACCGGCCTCTGTGCACCTGTGCTGCTGCGGTTCATTCCAGGAGGACTGGAATGAATAAGCACTATGTCAAAAGTCTCATTTCAGGAACTAAAGAAACCAGAATATTCCATGACTTGGAAACATCTCTTTTCATTAGCATGAAGTATTTCAACCAAATTGCAGGTGAAGAGAAAAAAGATTATTTCTGTTTTAAAAAAATAGTGTTCAGATGCTTCTAATTTAAAAATTAAAAAAAATACATAAAATTCAAGCAATAAAGAGCATGCATGCCACTTTCTGAGGCATCAGACGTTATCATTTCTGAGACCAGTGTGAGTGAGAGCCCAGGCTCCTGGCCGCATGGATGACTTGCTGTTGGAGGGCCCCATAGCAGCATGTCTCACCTGCCTCTTGGAAAGGGCTCTGAAGAGAATTACTGTTAAAGAGAGTTTTATGCAGTTTCTGGGTTAGTGAGATTAAAGCAATACTTCTTTTCCCATTCGGCATCAAATGCCAGCGCTAAAGGAGTAGCTAACTTGGCTGTGTATTTTCTCCCCCACTGTGGCTGAGCATTTGTCAGATTTCACTCATGCCGAACATTGTACCTAATGGTCTCAGGTGAGCAGCACGACTGCTCCTGGGCACCTCGTGACCCACACATTCTTGCATGCCCATGGCATTCTTGCTTTACTTCCGACAGCAAGGAATGCACATATGAAAGTACTGCAATATGCATGGGGAAAACGGAATTCAAAGAGAAGTTCACTTTGGTGCAAAGTTTTAAACATTTATGTGTAATTTTTCATGGCAGGCATTTCCCGTGACTTCAAGTTTCTTGGACAGGATCCTGGAGGGAAAACATAAGAAATGTGGTAATCGCTACCACCACAGAGCCAGTCCTGGGGCTCTGATTGGTTTTCCAGCCCCAAATCAGAGCAGCTCTTCCCAATTTCCTTTATATACATACATATATGTGTGTGTGTGTGTGTACATATATATGTATATACCTTCACATATGTGTGTGTGTGTGTGTGTGTGTGTGTATTTGTTTGAATGGCAGAGTTAGAGAGAGAGAGAGTGACCAACTTTCCATCTGCCAGTTCACTCCTGAAATGGCTGCAGGAGCCAGAACTGGGCCAAGCAGAAACCAGAAGCCTGAAACTCCATTTGGATCTCCCATGTGGGTGGCAGGGGTCCAAGTACTCGGTTGCCCAACAGTTACATTTCATCAGTTCTTGCGGATGAGCAGGGGACTTGAGCACAAGAGTGTCACCATCGTATCTGAACGCGAGCAGTGAGCTGTTGGTGATGGGCAGGTTTGTATGAAACGGACATGTATCCCCCAGAGACCTCTCCTCATGTCATCTGTCAGGTTTTCATCTCTCAGGGTCAACTCCCAGCCTCTGCCTAACACTGCCATTCTCCCCGGAGCACCAGGCAATCCTGTAGTCTTACCTGCGCACACCAGAACAAAGCCTTAGAGATGGGAACACACATACAGCTACTGGGTGACATTTAACGAACGGAAATCTGACCACACTCAAGTCTTTGTATAAAGATAACTTGGAGGGTGCTGAGTACAGCACAGGGAGCAGATGCACCTGGGCCTTGCCACTGTGTTTTCACCTCTTGTCTGCAAGTGCCCTGCCCTGCACCAAAGTCAGCAAAGCTAGGGGTCCATCTGTTTCTGATGAAACAAAACAATCAAGGTTGCTTTGGTGAAAAAATGACAGGTGTGAATCAAAGTACTTAATACAAAGCAAGAGAGACGTAATGGCTTTCTGACAGGTGCTAGGTCTATTTTTTGTAAGAACCTAAGCAACTTCTGAAAATAAATTTGCAGGGCTGGTGTTTCGGCATAATGGGTTAAGCTGTTGCCTGTGATACCAGCATCCCACATGGGCACTGTTTTGAGGCCCATGTGCCCCATTTCCAAATCCAGCTTCCTGCTAATGTGCCTGGGAAAGCCATGGAGGATGACCCAAGTACTTGGGACTCTGCACTCACATGGGAGACCCATAAGAAGCTCCTGGCTCCTGGCTTCAGCCTGTCCCAGCCTTGGCCATTTCTGAGAGTTAATAAGCAGATGGAAGATCTCTCTCTCTCTCTCTAACTCTTCCTTTCAAATAAAATGAAAATAGATCTGAAAGAATAGAAATGATATTGCATCTCCTTCAAGAAACAGAGACCATCTTATCAGCATCTGGACAATGAGCCAAATTTTATAAACAACGTTTAGACTGACATTGCCGTGTAGAGAGATAGCCTGTTTTTTTTTTTTTTTTTTTAGCTCACAAAGAAACTGCCTTAGAAGTTTAGCAACCAGGGGAGATTTATTTAGTAATAAACACAGATAAGCAATTATTGCCAACTGTTTGTTGCGCCTGTGTCCTGACAAGGATAACTTCTGATTCAGGAAACAAGTGCACATTGCTTCCTAATTCCTAAGAGATTCCTGTGGAAACTGAAGAATTCACACAAATCGATGGCTCTGCCCGGGTGCTCTCGGTATCCCCAGAGGCCCCACCAGCTGGTAGCGCTCATCCTGTGCTTCCTTGGCCTCCATGAGGCCTGCCTCTTTCCTACGCTGCCCCACACAACCCTGGGAGCAACGAGCAGAGAGGTCCCCAGCTTGACACACGGCTACCTTGCACTGTAGGTAGACCACATCATAGCTGTCAAGAAAGCTGAAGGCGTTGAACTTGAACTGCACCATGTTCTTCTGGTGGGAGGGAAGGAAGGCATAGGAACTGTCTTTGATGCACCTGATGGGGAGAAAAACCAAGGACCAAAGCGTAAAGCTTGGTGGGAATTTACTCTGACCCAAGGAATCAGCTTTAGAACCAGTCTTTAGAATTCCAGATGGAATTCTTCCCACAACCACAACCAACCTTTTCTTTCTTTTTTTTTAAAAATACATTTTAAAAATATTTATTTATGTTTACCCCTAAGAGGGAGCAGAGGGACCCTGACTCTGTCCCCAAGGCATGGTGAGGCCCTTCTGGGCAACGTTTTGATTCAGGACCACCCAGCAGGCAGTCGCAGCTGCCCTAAGGGAATGCCGCCTGCATACAACAGCCCCGGAGGACCTTCCATTTTCCTTACCCATGTCGAATCAAGTCATATTTGATGGTTTCAAAATCTTGGGGATCCGGAGACGCCACGCAGGTATCCACGAAGAGCCTCAGGTTGAGGTCTGGGCTGTGGAGTGTGGCCTGCAGAAAGACCTCCTCCTTCCGGCTGGCATAGTACGGTGCCACACCCCACACAGGCTGGGCTGTGGGCGACTGGAGGAAGGATATGGACACGTCGTAGCGGGAGCCCTCTAGAGCGGTGTCCACCCCACCAGCGACTCCAGCTGCAGACGAGCTCTCCACCCTGCACGTGAACTTCAGCTGCGGCACCTTGTGTCGCACGATGACTCGGCCAGGGTGACCATGTTTCCGGCCTCTGATGGAGTTGGAGTAGCTAAGGGAGCCGCCTCCGTGTTCCTGTGAGGATGAGGCAAGAGCTGGTGGCCGTCCTGCAGCACGCGTGACTGGCACCTGCCTGGGTTGGACCTCTGTGGTGGGTGACTTTGAGGGTGCTTGCGGGAAAGCCTGTGCCCTGGTTTCTGTCTGGGAGGGTCCAGCTGTGCTGCTGGGAGCTGGGGGCCACAGCATCATGCTGGCTGCCTGGAGCGCCCCCTCTCCTGAGGGTCTGCCTAGAGCCCTGCATCCAGGCGCGCGCGCGCGCGCACACACACACACACACACACACACACACACACACACTCCTCCCCCACACTCCCCTGGCTCCCCTTTTCTTTTATCTTCTCTCTGCTCCTGACCTCAGGCTACTTTCCCCTCCAGGTGAGTCTGGCCCTGCTCAGTTTGGCTCCCAGTCTTGCTCTTTCAAGTCCAGCAAGACTTGCGGGTTCCAGGTGCTGGGGGCATTGGCTGGGTGCTTGTTCAGTGTCTCTTTGTCACAAGGGCCACAGAACAGGAATGCTGGCTGTTGTGTGACTCTGTCAGGGTGCATCTTCAGCACCCAGGAGGGTGCTCCCCACTGACCCTGAAGCAGATCCTGGACCCCTGCGACAGTGCGTTTCTCATGGTGTCCGTGGCTGGCCACCACCCTGAGTGATGCCTGACCCAGGGCCCCAGGCCTGTGGTCAGCACGGGGGCTTTCTGGGGGAGCGGGGCCACTTCTCTGACAGCCCAAAGGTTTCCACCCAGCAGGGCATTATCTTTTTATTTTTTAATGTTTAGGTTGTTTGAATTACATTTTTTGATTCCCTTGGAAAAATTTTTTAGTTACAGGTCTTTTTACATTTCACCAGGATTCTATACTTTTTTTAAATTAATACATAATAATTGAGCTGGGGGTCTTGCTTTGGCATCCATTACATTGTTAAATATACTAAGAAAAAATGATCTCGCAGTTGTACACTTTTCCTACACTTTTGGTATACTTGGGGAAAACTAAGTGGAGCTATGTAGTTCATTACCCATAGTGTCTTCTTTCTAGATCGTAGAGTGCAGCTGGCTGCCTCGTTAGAAACCTGGCAGTTGGCTGCCTTAGACTGTCCTTCCCAAATCCGGGTACCATGGCTGGCATGTAGTAAGTGCCTGATGACTCAATAGAGAGGTATGTTGCGGGAACTGCCTTCCCTGGGGAGCTTAGAGAAGATTGTCAGTTCCCCTCAGGCACTGGTGCATCCTTCCGCACTCGACCCCTGCTTCTGTATCACATGTTCAATGTGTATCCTAAATTCCTCAAAGAAAGTTTCAGACAAACCAGTGAGCTACTCAACTCAGAAATGAAGTCGCGGCTTGTCCCTTTCTTCCTATGTGGACTTTTAGCAGGTGGCAGGAGTCTCTGGGACTCTCTCCTCGTCCACCACCGACAGAAGGGGTCCGTCCCACCTCAGCAGCTTCTCACCTGCCGGACGGTGCCGCAGCGGCCATAAGGAATGCTGAAGATCAGGTAGCGTCCTGTGACCCTGGGGCGACACAGCTCATCATGGACACGGACGTCCCAGGAGGAGTAGCCCAGCCTCTGGAGATAGCCTCGGTCAATGGTGGCTTGGAAGAGGTGAGGCAAGCAGGAGAGCCGGGCTGTGGGAGGTGGAGGATGGAGACCCCTCAGAAAGAGGCACAGGTGCCCCATGAGATCCCTGGAGGTCACACTTCATCTACAGTCCCCCTTTACAAGAAGGGGGTCAATCCATAGTCCTTGGGGGGCCCTACTCGCAGCACCTAAGTTCAGAGTCTTCGCCAAGGGTTTCAAAGATTGTTCATTTTCCACATGGGAACACTTGAGCCTGAACCTGTCTGTCGGGAATTTGCCTGGAGGTTAAGGCGGAAAGAGGAAATGAAGGAGAAGAGGAAGGGAGCCTTGGAACCTTCCAGAGAGTTTCATGACAACCCTCCCTCCCCCAGCTGCTTCCTAAGCTCCCTCTTCTAGAAGCTTCAGACCCCAGCAGGGAGGGCACTTTACCGTTGTCCTTGGGCACGGCCAAGTCAGCTGGACCTGGTAAGAGATGACAAAATCCAAATGTCAGTTGGGCTGAGTCCTAGGAGAGCATGATGAGCAGCAGTGGGGTGCAGCACGGGTAACTGCCTTCATGGGACTGAGCTGCCAAAGCGGGGCTCGGAGGCCTGGGGGTGTCTCAGGGTGTACACAGAAATGGGGGCCAGGGCCAGCTTTTGGAACTGGATACTGCCATAGGTACAGCAGTGCTGAAACTGTAAACATCATGGACACCAAGGTTTGTTGGAGCAAGGGAACAGCAGACACACCCTCACAGGCGTGAATTCTGGCTGGCTGGTGTCCCTAGCCGCACTCCTGGCATGCATGGGACCTCACACTGGGAAACGTGTGCCTTACAGCAGGCAGGGCCTTCTGCAGCTCAGAAGCAAGGCATGATCACACACCTCAGGTGCACAACCGGCCAGGCTCGCTCAACCGTGGCAGACTCCCTGGGCCCCAGAGCACTGCTTCTTGGACTCCTGCACCCAGTGCAAAGGGATGCTCTTGTGGTGTAGACCTCAAGAATTCAGGGAGTGCCTCAGCAGCACCAGGAATGGCTGGCACGAGACAGGAAAGTCTGCAAGGCAAGCACCCCAGACTCCAGAGCAGACTCTGGCTGCTTGGCCCTGGGTTTGTGGTCAGGGGACGCGGGCAGCCTTCTGAGCTGGCCCCATGTCTGGGCCAAGCAAGGTGACACCAACATGAAGGAAGAAGCATTAGCAAGCAGGCCTTAATTTACCTATAAAAAGCAAGGAAGGGAGCAAAGTGAGCCTAGATTTGCTCACCATTTGTTAAAATCTCACAGCGCCTTGGGGTCTATGTGAAGGAGTAAGCGAACTGTAGGCTGACAGCAGTAAGTTCTCTGTCTTTGGTGATTTCACTGGGCTTCAAGCCTCCCTACCCCCGCGCCTCACTGCCTTTTAGCCGGTGTTCAAATATGCACTGAGTTGGAAGTAATGAACTGGTTGATTGATCAACCGCCAAGCCTGGATGATGCAAACATTTCCAGGTCCTTCCTTTCTGCAGAATCCCGGGCCTGGGCCACACCTGCCACTCCTCAGGGTGGTGAATTTTGACCTCAGGAACGTGTGAAGGGCGGGGAGGCCTCCCTAGAGGGCAGGGCCTCGGGACACCCCAGGGTGCGGTGGGTGCACTGGGGCGCTGGGTACCTGCGCACAGCACGCCGGCGTCCTCGTGGTGCCGGCAGTCGTGCTTTGCCCAGCCGGCGTGTGCGCAGCTCCCCAGTGTGGCCTCGGTGCCCGCGCAGCGCACGTCGTCCAGCAGGATGGGCCCGGTGCCCGGGCCGAAGCGGCCACGGCCCGGGGCGCCCAGCGCGCGGCCGCAGCGCAGCAGGCGGCACACCACGCGCGCATTCCTGAGGCTCCAGTGGTCGTCGCACACCGTGCCCCACAGGCCCTGGTGCCGCACCTCCACGCGTCCCTCGCAGCGGCTGCGCCCGTCCACCAAGCGCACGGCTGGGTCTGCGGAAGTAAGAGACTGAATCAGCGAGGAACAAGACGTGGGCATCGCTATGAAGGCTGTCTGGGTCTCGCCCGTCATTTGCAGTGGAGAAGCAAGCTGCGAGAGGTCCCGTTTCTGGAACCCTCACAAAGGAGAGCTGGGATGACTCACGCTCCTTCAGGGATGACCATTTGCAACTGGTCCTAGTGTTTTCAATATACCCCAGAACTTAATCTTTAAGCACAATTGTAAAACCTGAGAGAAAACAGCTAACAGTCACCCCACAACACCACACAAAACGCTGTTTGCACACAGTGGCTTATTCCTGCATGGCTCAAGGACAGGACAACGGGAATCCGGGTCTGGGTCGCTGCTTTTGTCGCCTTTCTGCCCGTTACCTGTTATTTCTATTTTTAAAAAAGCAACCTCAACTTTTGGAAAGTGCATTAAAATGAAGCACTGCTCTGACTCCTGAAACCAAATGTATCCAGTGGTCTTGAGGAATAGGCGTGCTTTCGTGCTATATTTTTACCATAAAATTATCTTAGGTAATTTAGCCATTGCACCGCTAGGAATTCGCATGACGTAGAGGAAGCACATGTGTGCACTGACGTCTGTGTGCGGGATTGTCGGCAGGAGCGCCATGGGGGGGAAGGGACGACGGTGGGCACTGCAAGGCCATAACTGTGAAAGCTCAGCAACAGCTGTCCAACAGTTGTTAAGTACGTTAGGAAAGGACCTGTGTGACACGGTCCACCTCTGAGGCTGCCTGAGAGCAGGAGCAATCGTAGGGCCACACCGCTGGCTGCTGCAGGTAGGTGGCTGAGGGCGGTGTTGGATGTCCGGACGGCGTCTCTAACAGAGTCAGAAAAGCTCACAGGTGTCAGCCTTTACGGTATGTGAATTGGACTTAAAAAAAAAAAACCGTTTGCCTAAAAAAACCAGAAAATAGGACCCAGCTAGGTAGCTAGTGGCTAAAGTCTTTGCCTTGCATGCACCAGGATCCCATGTGGGTGCTAGTTCTAATCCTGGCGGCCCTGCTTCCCATCCAGCTCCCTGTTTGGGGCCTGGGAAGACAGGCTTGGGACCCTGCACCTGCATGGGAGACCTGGAAGAAACTCCTAGTTTCAGATTGGCTCAGCTCCGGCAGTTGCGGCCACTTCGGGAGTGAACTAGCTGATAGAAGATCTTCCTCTGTGTCTCTCCTTTTCTCTGTGTATCTGACTTTCCAATAAATAGAAACAAATTCTAAAAAAATAAAAAACCCAGAAAACAAAAATCCATGTGTGAACTGACTCAGCATGGCAGTGTCCAGCAGTGACTGTGTCTTTGGGCTCCGGCTCTGCTCAACATACAGAAGGTGTCTCGTGAGGGCAGCCACTGTGGCCGGTGGCAGCTGCTCTGTGGCTGCAGGTGGCTGGCCTGGCAGGCTGTTCTCCCACGATTCCTACGTGGCTGCGATACCAGAAGCAAGGCAGCCATGCTTGTGTGAACTTCAGATTCCTTCCGAGTGAGGTGGATGAGGGGATTCTGACCTGCAAACTGTGTGTGTCTGTATGTATCCGTCTTACCATGGTGAGTGATTTTTCTGCAAGGAGTGGGAAGTGCAAGTGAAAAATAGAGCTATCATCGTTTCAGTGTTAGAATCAAAAGGAAGTTACCAGGCAGAGGGTTTACGTCTTCATCTACCGAAATTGTAACTGCAAATGAGAAAAGAAAAGTTTTAAAAATTCATACGCTCTAAGGCAGATATTTATATTTAAAGCTGAAAAACAGCTAAGCATTTCAGCTTCATACAATGTTATTTTGATTTTCAGCTTTGGATAGTGCGTGTGAATATGTTGAGTTTTTGAAGGGAAGATCATTTTAAAAGGGACTGAAAGTAAAGCAAAGAAAGTGTAATTTCTCAGAAACATTTTGCATAAGAGAAACATCCCGTGTGCGGGGTATAATTTCTTATTAAAATGCACAACAGGCTCCATGCAGGATAGCCAGCAATGAACTTTATTAGCAACCGCATTGGTGCACTTTTCTGAAGTAAGAATTACTGCAGCAACATGTGTGTTCCTTACCAGGTAATGGTATCACGTTGGTTGACATCGGATCCATGACTGTCAAAAAATACACGAATAAATAGTGAAAAGAAAGCATTCACGTTTGGCTTCATGGAAGATTTTATGAAAACAGGCTTGTTTCCTGAGCGATATGTGATCGAAATCCAACTTGCCCGTTTGTCTTGGGACCTACACACTCGGGCATGGGATGGGATAGGAGAGGTTGGCATTGATGAGCTTTACAACAAGCGGGCCGGGTAAGGATTATCCCTGTGCTAGAGAGGAGAGAATGTCAGAGCAGTTGACAGTGTGCCCAGGTCAGGTCCAGGTCTGAGGCCCCAACGCTCACGCTGCTTCTCACCATCGCCCTGCAGGAGTGAGTGCAGTGGCAGTTGTGCTCCCGGAAGTAGGGACGTAGGGGAAGGCAATGGTTGCCACCTGTCTCCTGCTCCAAGAGGCACTTCCTGCTGAGACAGGAAGTGATTGGCTGTCAGGCTCCCATAAAGGAAGTAGAATATCAGCACCACCTCCTTTATGTAAAATGCAACCCAGTTTCCATCCACCAAGTCTGCAGGAAAAAAGCTGGCCTCACGGGATGTCCAGAGCTAGTGAGTGTTATAAGAATTACTGACAAAGGTGAAGTCACAGTAGGGGTGGGGAAGGAAAGTGGTGAGAAGAGAAGGAGGGAAAGGAAGCACTAAACTGGGTCTGGCACGGTAGCCTAGTGGCTAAAGTCCTTCCTTCGCATGCATTGGGACCCCATATGGGCGCCCGTTCCTATTCCAGCTGCTCCCCTTCCCTTCCAGCTCCCTGCTTGTGGCCTGGGAAAGCAGTCAAGGATGGCCCAAAACCTTGGAATCTTGCACCCACTTGGGAGACCTGCAAGAAGTTCCTGGCTTCTGGGCTTCAGATTGGCTCAGCTCCAGCTATTGCAGCTACTTGGGGAGCGAACCAGCAGATGAAAAAATCTTTCTTTCTCTCCTTTTCTTGTAAATCTAATTTTTCAATAAAACTAAAAAAAAAAAAAAAATCTTAAAAAGACCACCAAACTTTAGTTGCATTGAGTTTCTCCCCTTCCAACTTTGAAGTAATCAGGATTTGAAAACATTAGTAACTAGAAGAAAGTCTCCACATTTTGTGTCTAAAGATGTCAGTGTTGCAGGGATTGGGGGTCCCCGGGAGGGTGTGTCAGCAAGGTCTGAGTGCAGTCAGGAGACCTTGGATGGAGGCCAGGGCACTTGGCATTGTCTGTTCCTGGCTCTGTGATCTTCCTGGGTCTGCCTTCTCTGGGCCTCATTTCCTTCAAAGCAGGAAGCAGGCTCAGCACTTTGATCTTCTGTGGAGGTCTGGAACCGGCGTATCAGCACACCGAGGAGCTGTCCACACTGGGCAGTTTGGCTCCAGCAGGAGCCATTGAATGTGTGTTTGCACGGGGGCGTCTCCTGTTTCCCAGGAGCTTCTCCTGCATGTTATCCTTGGGACATCGCTGTGTCACACCTTCTCTGAGGTCTCCAGGGTGAAGCTGTCCTCCTGCCCTCCGAGGTCTCCTCCAAGGACACCTGAGGATGTCAGCCTGTCCTCCGGGGTGGAGGTGGTCAGCCTGCCCTCCGAGGTCTCCTCCAGGGACACCTGAGGATGTCAGCCTGTCCTCCAGGGTGGAGGTGGTCAGTCTGCCCTCTGAGGTCTCCTCCAAGGACACCTGAGGATGTCAGCCTGTCCTCCGGGGTGGAGGTGGTCAGCCTGCCCTCTGAGGTCTCCTCCAGGGACACGCAGGCTGTCTGCCTGCTCCAGCACCTACCTTCACTGGGTCCAGTTCCTAGACTGTGTTGGGGCCTGGGGTCCTCTGGGGGCTCTCCCTGAGTAATCCTGACCTCCCCCACAGAGACAGGAGATATTTAGCCTGAATGTGTAAACTCTTGCTGAAGAAGTGACTCACAGCCTCTGCAGGGATCAAAGAGCGTACCTGGTGATGGAGGCGTTCCAGCTGAGGTGAGAGTGGCATCTGGAAAGGAGGAATGTTTCAGTTTGACTTACAGCACGGTAGAAAACAGAAGAGCAAATGGCAGAACTACCAACCTGGTTCTCTTGTGCGGATGTCGAGGTCTGCTGCCTTGATAGAAGCCTCATCTGCAACAACACAGCTAAGCAGGTGAAGTGTGGACCCCCAGCCCCAGCCCTCTTGGACATATCTGATCAGGACCCGGACATCTGGGCTGGCATTGTGATACAGTAGGTCAAGCTGTCAGCTGGGATGCTGACATTCCTATCAGAGTGTTGGGTTGAGTGCCAGCTGCTCCCCTTTCCACCCAAGTGCCTGCTTGGGTGCCTGAATAAAGCAATGGAAGATGGCTCAGGTACTTGGGCTCTGCCACCCAAGTGAAAGGCCTGGATGGAATTCCAGGCTCCTGGCTTTTTCACCTGGCCCAGTGCCAGCTGTATAGAGACTAATGCCACAGACAAGTGTTCAGTATAAGTGTTCATTTGCCAAATAGGAGGAGGAGGGAACTGATCATGTTTAACGTAAGACTGTGACAGGCAGAAAACATTTCTGGAGGGTGAGTCCACCTGTGCTGTGGTTGAAGCTGCCTTTGTAAATGGGATGGAACTCTCACAAATGGGAAGAAGGCTGTGTGGGGAAGGGGCAGGGGGTTGTCATGGTTGAATCAGTCTCACTAAGTAAAAGAACGTGAGAAGGTGGCCATGTTGTGTCGTGGCTAAGATATGCTTGGGGCACTCACATTCATTCCAGAGTGCCTGGTTCAAGTCCTTGCCCTGCTGCAGTCCTGACTTCCTGCTGACGTGTCCCCTGCGAGGCAGCAGGCTCAAGGACTGGGGTCCCTGTCACCCATGAGGGAGACCCAAGTTGAAGTTTCAGTTTCCAGCCTCAGCCTGGCCTAGTCCTCCTGGGCTTTGTGGGCATTTGATGGATGAACCAGCAGAAAGGAAACCTAGTTCTTCCTTTCTCTGTCTCCCACTTTTTGAGTTTCAAATAGGCAAAATAAATAAATGAAAATGAAATAAACAGTGTCAGACTTTACCTGTTGGAGAGGGGCCCTTTGCTGAGGTTGACCAGATGTCTACAGATGAAGTGGCTAGGGAGAAGAGGGGCAGAGAAGGAGAGGGAGACAGACTCTTGAATATAGCAGGTTGCTATTTTTCCTGTGGCTATGATGCGGATAGAGTTTTCATGAAACAGCTTCATTTGATAAATGGACCAGGAAGGGGGCACTTGACAGGAGGGTGGACCCATAGACCTTCCTGGTGTGGAGGTCGCATGGGTCATAAGAGCTGCTCATGAACAGTAATGCAGGATGCCCATGAGGCAGCCCTGCCAGGCATGCATGCTTCTCTCGGATGCAGGAGGCACCATGGCAGCACCTGGCTGGGCTTGTCCCTTCTCTCCACATGCAAGCCGAGGCAGGCCACTTTCAGATACACCCTGCCTCCCATCTCTCGCATGGCCTGTGTCTCCATTCCACTCAGCTACTCTTTCCTCCCTGTGAGGCAGAGGTCACCAGTGTGGATGGCCACAATCCTCAGCTGTCTGGGGTTAGGGTAAGGAGTGTTCAGATCAGGGTTTGCTTTCCTGGCCCCTCTCCTCCTCCTGTCTGTGACCCAGGAGAAGGTCGGCTCTGCAGATGGGGACTGTCCCCAGGTGTCCCATGTTCTGGCTGAGGCAGGGGAGGGATGGCAGGTTCATTTATCTGGGGACTAAGTGCTGCCCTCCATGCCAGGGTTACCAACAGCGAGGGTTGCATTTTCCTGCCGACTCTGTTGCTTTGTATTTCAATGGCTCAGCAC